TCCATCAAGAGATGAATTTTAAAAAAGTTATATATATATATATGCAATGGAATATTATTTGATTGAGAAAAAAGAATAAAGCACAGATACATGCAACAACATAGATAAACCTTGAAAACATTGTGTTAAGTTAAAGAAGCCACATATACAGAACTAAAGGTTGTATAATTCCATTTATAGAAAACTAGAGGCTCAGTGCATGAAATTTGTGCATTCCAGGGGCATGGGGTCCCTCACAGTCCAGATTGCCAGAGGGCACAAGCCAGGCCAAGGGACCCCACTGGTACACCATTGGGGTCAGGGAGGGGCCACAGGAGGACTCCAGGGCATGTCCAGTCCATCTCACTCAGTCCTGATCTGTCTGACCCCAGCAACAAGCTAATCTACTGGTGGGAGCATCTGCCCCCTGATGGTCAGTGCATGTCATAGTGAGCTGTTGAGTGGCCTTAACAAATCATTAGCATATTATGCTTTGATTGGTTGAACGGCCAACCAGATGACTGGACATTTAACATATTAGGCTTTTATTATGTAGGATGTCCAGGATAGGCAAATCCATAGACAGAAAGTAGATTAGTGGTTGCTTAGGGTAGGGGATGCAGGAAAATAAAAATTTGCCAGCCAAATTGTGGAAGGGGTTCATGGAGGAGTTCTGTTCTTTTTAGGGCAATAAAGATGTCCTAAAATTGATTGTGGTAATGACTGAAAAAAACTGTAAATATAGTCAAATACGTTGTACACTTTAAATAGGTAAATTGCATGATATATAAATTACCTCTCAATACAACTGTGTGTTTCTAGTTTTGTTTTTCCATTGATTTTTAGAGAGTGAAAGGCAGAGAGAGAGACAGAGAGAAACACGGATGTGAGAGAGACACATCACCTGGTTGCCTCCCATACCAACCTAGGTATATGCCCTTGACCAGAATCGAAACCCGGATCCTTCAGTCTACGGACCGACATTCTAAACACTGAGCCAAACCAGCAAGGCCAATTGTGTGTTTCTTTAAATGGCCTAAATCTAGATGAGAATTGGAAACAAAGTCAGTTAACGAAAAAGTGTTAGGAACCTCAAATTGGGAGTTTTTCTGTCTCTTTTGCACTGTAAATTTCCCCCAAATGATGATAAAGATAGCTTTTGATTATCACTTGAAATTTACAAGCACTTTTACAAATAAGGTCCTTTTGAGTCCTTGATGCAATCTTAGAGGAAGATAATTATCTTCCCTTAATTTTATACTCCGGGATGTGGTAGCTCCACGTTTCTGAGGTTCACTCCCTCTCTCAGTTGGCTGGTCACGGTAGATGTCAGTTCTTCCTGTGCCCTTGCTCCTACACTGCGTAGCATCTCAAGGCGCCAGGTAGATACTTATCAAGCCAATATGCAGAAATGGCACAGCCGACCAATCACAATGCAGAGAATGCCTTATTTTTCTAGGAGACGGACCTTTATGCTACATTCAAGCCAAGTACGCTCGGATCACTCGTCAGAAGTCTTGTGGTAACAGGGAAAGAACCCTTTGTTCTTTAGGAATTTCAGTTTGGGCTCACTTTCTTATGTGCCCCAGGGCCTAGAGCACGCAGTATCTGATGTTCCAAAAGATATTAATGAATACATAGATTCTCAGGCATCAATCAGTAGGCAGAGACTTAACGTTCTACACGGAACAACCATGGAAAAAACCACGGTCTAAAGTAGGAAGACGCAGGTTAGCTTCAGTTTTCTCATCTGTAAAGTGAGGGGGGAGAGGAATACTCCCACTGCCGTTGTAAAGATTTGATGAGAATATATCTGAAAATACTCGATTCACAATAGGCACTCAACAAATGTTCGTGGGTGCTAAAATGAAATAGTCTGATACCGTGACCTCTCTTATGGAGACCAGGGGTTCCTTCTGGGTATTTTAAACCTCAGATCTCACCTGAGAATGGTGTTGACTGGATTAACCAAACCTGAAACAGTAACTATCTAATTGTAAGGAAGACTTCATTCTTAATTTTATTTCAAGTTTAATATAAAAGTGTGTTCTCTTGTATCTCCAGGTTAATTTTCCAAAATCTTAATTGAGTGTGTGTGTGTGTGTGTGAATGAGTGTGTATTTGTTCACCAAACTAAACACTGAACAAGATTGCTATTTCAGAAGAAAACATAGAGGATGAGGGGAAATCTTTTTCTTTTTTGCCTTACTAGAATGAAAAGGAAATAACAATCCGAAATTCTGGGAATATAAGAATCTCCCAAAGTGGGAGAATTTTCTGCCCAAGTCTTGCCTAGTTGAATGATTTTTATTCATCCTTCAAAGGGACTTTTCAATCAAAGGAAACTGTAAATTCCTTCCTACAATCTGATAGGCTCAATGTGATCAAAGTCATACTACAAGAAAAGTCAAGGGTCTTAGAGAAAAAATAATCTGGGAACAATTTGAAGAATTTGTCATTATTTGGCTATTTATTAGATCTTTCCAATATCCCTGAATAGCTTGTGTATTCCAAACCGCATTCCTGATCTGTAACAATGACTCTTGGATCTTAAAACCAACCACCTTTATTAGTTCACCCAGTAACATTCATGGTCTCACCAAAAAGCATGTCCTCAAACCACAAGCTGGACAATTTTAAGCAGATGCAAGCAGATGACTTTCACTATTACAAGGTTTTTCTAATTTATATAAATAGTTTTTACAACTAGAAATAATGTGGTTGGACCATTAGACTAATTTACCATTAAAGCAGAAACAAAAGTCTGACGGATTTTAGACAATTATTTCAAATCTTTTCTGAAGCCTTGCTATCCCTCCTCTTATATATCAAGCAACAACTTTTTTTTTTCTCTTAAGGTTTATTCTGACTGCTTTCAAAAATTAGTTTTATCATAGAAAACAAAACAGAACTAGATCCAATATAAACAGACAATCGAAAATAAAGCCAGCTAAAAGCAGGGATAGATGTTACTATGCTCAGGGTCAGGGCTGTCACTGCTAAAAGCACACGCACTCTAAGAATCTGGAACCAGCTGCCTTGCCCAGGCCAGTGATGAAGGGATCACCAAATGTCTGTTTATATAATTCCCTGTGAACATGCTTTTACTTTTGCTTTACATTCCTAATCAACCTATCCTGTACCCTACGAAACATATTAGCAGTCTCCAGAAGCTCAGGGGCTGGGGAGAACCGGCTATGGGTGTGTTGTTTAACCTGGACATAGTTTCTCCTTGTCTTGATGGAAAAGTTCTGAAAATGGACAGTGGTGATAGTCACTCAACCTTGTGAATGTACAGAGTGCCACTGAACTGTTCACTTCAAAGTGGTTAAAAGGGTAAATTTTATGTTGTGTCTATCTTATCCTGATAATACCAGAAAAAGAATAAAGATATTGAGAAACAAAACGCTCACAAGCTAGTATCCTAACCACAAGTCCAAATGCTGCAAGGAGCCTGGTGGGCTGTGACCCATCAGTTCTAGTGTATTTGTCCTGGTCTGGCAACAAGGTTCAAATGCAGGACTGGATGAAATGTATTGTAAAATCACCTCCTTACCCGGGACAGAAAACCTAAGACTGGTGCTTTTCTGAAACGTTAGCAACCTAACGATCCCGTATGGGATCAGCATGCTGGTCAAGGTGGGACCTCAGAGCGTGTATTTTAGCAGGTCCCCAGCTGATGCCCCTGCTGGGCTGCGGACCTCCCTAGAAGCACCGTGTCCCCAGGAATGCCACCCTATCCGTCTAAATCTAGCACCAGGTCCTCTCACGGGGACGCCCCAGGGGCTGATCTCTCAAGCCCATTGGTTAGAGACTTCACTTACCAGCCAATCACCGTTCGTAAAAATGCGTTGAGGCGCTCGAACAGAAGGCCTGACTGCAGAGGGCTCCCAAGAGTCCCCACCCACCCACCCACCCACCTCGGGGACTGGAAAGCAGCTACTGGCGGTAAGGGACAAGGGACAGAGGAGGAGGAGGAGGAGGAGAGATGCAGCTCCTCAGAAGCCCTCCGGCCCGACTTCAAAAACAGTCTTGAAAATGCCCTTCCCCAGCTCGAAGAATGCCTGGAATCCAGTGGCCTGGCTCCAGCCTAAAGACTTCCAGCTCCGTTCCGTTCAGACCCAGCTCCCTATAGCAGAACCTTAACACGCAGTCCTGGAAAACGGACACCGCCCCGCGTTGTTGACAAACGCCGCCCCTCCCTTACACATGAGTCAGAAAGTGCACATAAAATAAGTAAATGAATGAAACGGGTTCTCCAAAGTTCTGCGGGGCAGGGGCTCAGACGGGGACTCCCAGGTGCGCAGTGTCCAAAGCCCCGCGGGCCGGCAGCGCAGGGGCCTTACCTCCCTCCAGCTGACCCTGCGCCCGCGTCCACCCCAGGCACCCGCTCCTGCCCCTTCCAGATACCATCATCGCCCAGGCTGGCCGTGCCCACAGAAACTCGGAGGCCCTTTAAACGGGGTGCCAGAGAAGCTCAACAGGAAGTGAGACCGCTCCCATCGCTGGGAGGGGGTGGCGCGGGGCCAGGTAGGAAAGAGAAAGTGGCCCCAGGTGCCTGCCTGCAGCGGCCTCGGGCGCGCGCTCCAACCCACTTCCAAACGGCTCCCCCAGACAAGCCCTATCCTACGCCGTTGTCCCCCGGGGGCATGGGGGAGCAAAAGTCAGCCAAGCATCCCCCAGAAAAGAAAGAAAGAAGAAAAAAAAAAATCAATCCTCAATTTTGAGCAAGAGCTCAAGGAAATGGGAATGGGGAGGGGACGGACTGGGCATGAACTCGCATTCACTCGCGCTGCCCCTTACCTCCGTCCACACGACGGATCGAGAGTGCCAGCGCCCCGCCACACCCCGCAAAAGCCCTCCTTTGCCAAAGTTGGGGCAGGAGGAAGGTCCCCCAGCGTCGCCGGAGCCCGGGCTGCGGCGCCTGGCGCAGCTCTTTTCCCGCCGGGACGCGCGGCGGGCGCTCGGAGCCGGGGCCGGAGAGGGAGGGAGGGAGGGAGGGAAGAGGGCGCGTTACTCGCCTGCAGGCTGGGGCGTCCGCGGTCGGCAGGGTTGGGCTCAGGCAGCCGGGGCTCCGGGCTGCGCTCCCACGCGGCGCCGGCTGCTGGGCCGCGGTCCCCGGCTCCCCGCGCGCGTCGCTGGCGGCGCCTCGCCCGAGCCCGGGAGCGGGAGACTGCCCCGGGAATGGGCGGGCGCAGTTGGCCTCCGCGGCCGCTCCTGTGTATTATTGTGACCCAAGCTATTTCCTGTTTGGAGGTTGGAGAGAAGTAAAAATATATACCCAAGTCTTGGGGCGCAGAGGGAGTTGGTCAGCGGCGGGCCGGAGAGCGGCGGCTCAGAGGGGACGAGGGTGGGCGGCGGCTGTCACCTGCTCCCTCGAGACACGGAGGAAGGAGACGCAGTTTGTTTTTTGTGTGTGGATTTTTTTTTTTTTTTTCAGCGTTACTTTGGGGTGTCTGGGAGGACGGGGATGCGGGGCTCTCACACGCCACCCAGCGGCGGGGCAGGGGCCGAAGCTGCAAAAATCGCCTAGGGCACTCCGCACAGCGCAACGCACTGCCCTACCTCTCCCCTTCTCTGCAAAACTGCCCCGAGCTTTCTCCCCGCCCAGGGCAGGCGGAATGCGCTGTGCCTCTTTCTTAATTCGTGCCCAGGCCGGCTTTCTCGCCCCCTGCAGGGGTGTGTGTGTGTGTGTGTGTGTGTGTTTGGTGGCACTGGGGTCTTTGTTTTTTGGGCGGGGGTGGGTGGGAAGCAGGTGAATGAGGTCGGTGGAAAGTTAACTTTTGAGATCAGCTTCCGTTCCCCTCCCCCTCCAGCCTCACCCTTCGCCAGGATCGCCGGGTCCGAGGCCCCAATCCGGAAATACCGGTTCCTCCCGCTGGGACAATAGGTGAGGGCGGGAGCGCTAACCCCAGAGTCCGCTTAGTCACTACCGAAATCCCTGCCCAGCCGAGAGAGCAGAGTCTTCCTAAGATCCAAGCCTGGCCCTGGCAAGCAGGTGCTCCTTTCACTTCGTCTTGTTTAAAAATCCTAGGGAGGTGCCCTGGCCGGTGCACCAAAAGATTGCTGGCTCGATTCCCGGTGGGGGCACAAGTCTGGGTTGTCTGCTGGTCCCGGGTGTGGGGCGGATGAGGTTCGTTCCCTCTTCCTACTCCTCTCCCTCTCCCTGCCTCCCCCTTCTGAATTGTATGCTTAAAAAGTGGTTAAAATGGTCGATTTTACGTGATGTATATCTACCACAATAACAAGAATTCCTGGAAAGGTCATGCCCTCTCATTCATTCCAGACTGCCAAAACCTCCTTCCCTTTCCCTACAGGAGCCTTTGCCAGAACTAAGGGAATGAATAACAGTGCTTCTGAGAAGTCTCAGGTTCATTTACTTGAAACTTCTGGAGGTAATCTATCAACATATTATTCCATGAAATGGTAGATTGAGCCTAGAAGACAGTACAGTTTTTTAAAAGATGAACAGTAGTTTGTCAGAAACAAAGTGCTAGGAAGGTGTATGCCACTGTTCACCTAAGAAAGCAGGAAATACATGTGCTTGTTTTTTTAGTTTTTTTAGTGAAAGGGTAAATAAATGGCTACCTATTTGAGAGAGTGGGGAAAGGTGAAAAGCACAGGCATGGAAGCTAGAGTTCTCCGACTATAACTTGTTTTGTAGATTTGACTTTGGAATGATTATATTTTACATAATTCTGAAAAAATTAAATCAAACACTTAAAAAAGCAGAACGCAACAAATGAATGTAGTTACCAATTTGGTGGCTTACCAATGTAAAGGGACATTATGTCAGGTGACTTTAAAACATAAGTATTTGACTCTACAACCCTTTGGTATGTACTCTAAAGAGGAAGAGAATGTTTTTTTAAAAAATAAAAAAAAAAAAATACAACACAAAAAAACCAGACTGCTTTTCAGCAATCATAATGTTAGTAGTAAGTAATTAGGTTAATGTCCTTAAGAATTAACATTTTTCAGTATAAAAGAGGTAAATTTAAAAATTAAAGAAGTTAAGCAATATTAAATTGGAATTGGAATTATCATTTAGAACTCATGATACGTTTTTCTTGAAAAAGATTCCAAGGTCTGTTTACTCAAAATGCCCATCAAACAATGAGCAACCTGGTAGGTGGTCACTGCTACAACTTCTAGGTGACCTCTGTCCAGCTTCAGGCAGGAATGACCCAAAAGGGCCTGATCTCCTGCCTCCCACCCAGAGCTTCTCTGTTAATGCCAGTGTGGGGATCCACAGAAACTTAGGTGCCCCTAACCACCACCCTGAAGTGTCTGTGAATTAATGCTTCGTGTGCTAACGCACTGGGGGGGGGGGGGGCGGGGGCGGAGGAATGGCAGGTAGAAGCTCATAAAGATTCCTTCCTTTTCCCCCCAAGATGAACTATCCTGAGACTCAGCCACTATCACTTCTCAGAAATCAAATCACAGGAATCAGCCAATCAGGTGCCTGAAGCAGCAGCTTGCTGGCCGAGGCGCCCTTGGATTGGCTCTCTCTGCTTCCCAGTTCCTCACCTCTTTCCCTAGGACCATGCTTCTCAATAAAGCCTCAAGGCTCTGCTTCCCTGGAAACCCCAAGCTAAGACCTGTACAAATTGTATCTCAGCATAACTACTGTATTTTTCGGACCATAAGACGCACTTTTCCCCCCCCCGAGAAGTGGGGGGGAAAAGTCCCTGCATCTTATGGTCCAAATATAGCCTACACATATACTTTTAAAAAAAAGTGTTTTTACTTGCCCGGCTCTGTGTGGTCTCTGTGTGCTTGCCCGGCTCTAAAATGGTTCTAAATGCTGCTGTTTACTCTACAGGGTTGATTACATGTGTTTATGACTGTGATGTTGGGTTTTAATGCACATAAAATATTTTAGGACACTATTTGTTTCAGAATCTTTTTTTCTTCATTTCCCTTCTCTAAAAACTGGTGCGTCTTATGGTCCGGAGCGTCTTATGGTCCGAAAAATACGGTAGTTGGTGAGAAACTTATTCTAGCCAATAAATAAGGGGGTGACAAAATTAGAATATCGGCACCTTTCAAAACCCTCATACAATTGAGCGAGGCGGAGATCACCAGACATTATAGGAACTATTAAAATAGAAAAGAAAAAAATGTGTTAAGCAACATTGCTACCCGGGGATCATCAACAAAATCCAGAACCAAAGAAGACAAATAATCCACTTCCTTCAACAAGCAGCAATGCATTAAAAATGATGGGGAGTGGGGAGAGGAGCTATAGATTCGAACATGTAAGTGATGTCAGTGAAACACAACGTGTAATCCTTGTTTTGGTCCTGATTCAAACCAACCAATCCCTAAAAAAAAAAAATGATAAGGTATTTGGGGAAACTTGATATTCCCTAACTTAGTAAAAAAAAAATTAGGAAAAGTTAAAAGATGTATTAATCCATGCCACTAATTTAATCTAATATGGAGTTGGTGTTCCTATAATACTTACATGTGTTTGGGTGGCATATTTATTTTATGTACAGGGTGGGGCAAAGTGGATTTACATTTATTCATCTGGAAATCAACACAATAATTAATTAATTAATAATAAAGAATAAACTGTGTTTCGCATACTCAACTATAAACCTACTTTTTGCCCCACCTTATATCTACATATGTTTGTATGCATACACCCACAAAATAAACCAACCATCCGTTTTAATCTCTTTCTGTGTGTGAAAGGAACGTTTCAAAGAAGGCTTGGCTCGGGGGTTTTCTTTGAATGGGTTCAGGTAGGAAGGAAGGGACTCTGGCTGGCCTCGCTGGCATCTGACCTTATCTCTGTTTTTCCCACCCACCCTCTTCGTTCTGGGTACATGCTGTATGTATTCCTTTGTCTGTGCTGCCCTGTGACCAGCAGGACAGCATTTTCAGTAACTAATAAACATTCCCATTCTGAAGACTAAACATTTCCAAATCCGCTCAGAGACCCAAAAGGACACGCCTCCACGGGCCCCAGGGGCACTGCTGTGGAAAATGGGGCAAGAACTCTGAGTCCTGACGGAGAGCCCAGCGGAGGCTCGTCCCTGCCCCTGGCACCGAGGCCGTCCCATAGAAACCACCTTCCCTTCCCCGGAGACAAAGCCCCATTCTGCTGCCTCCGGGACAGCAGCTCTTGTGTTCTGTGTCCTGAGGTTCTGAAACCGATACTGTGCTTTGCCTGCAGACGGGACAGACACGATGGGGAAAAGGGTCAAATCACAGGCTAAAGTGGGGCACTCGCCTTGGTAAGGCAGGTGTTTTCTTTACTGGTAATAGGTGCCCCGCCGAGTCCCAGAAAGAGCCTTATTTCTAGTCTGGACTTGGCTGCCTGCTGCCTATGTGGTCCTTGAACTTTACAGTTAACTTCTCTGAGGCTCAGCTTCAGTCTCCTCACTCTCTGACCCAGCTGTTGTTGGTGGACATGGGGTGTCCATTGGTGGAAATGGGGGAGCCCTTTCCCCACTGAATACTGGGGGTTGGGTCCTTAGGATATCTCCAGAAAAAGAATTTTCTGAGATTCGCGTGGGAGGATGAGTGGTCTTTATTTGGGTGGAGTTATATCCCTGGGCTTGCAAAGTCCCATTTCCATTAATCCAGTCCTGGGAAATGTGCAGCTGGGGATTCAGCAGAGCTAAAAGCAAAGCCAGAGTCCAAAGTGTCTGTTCCCTGGGGGAGCTGAGTCCACAGTACAGCATTAGGCCAATCACAGTCCATCAGCCCATTGTGTGGGGCCCTCATGGGCCATGTGGGCAGAATACAGGGAGGTGAGAGCAGGCCCTCTGAAACAAGTGTCCCAAGGGAGAGAACTCCTTCCTTTAGGAGCTTACCGTACATATCTTAACTTTTCCCACACCTCTTCTGGCCAATGACCTGTTTCCAGGTGTGACTGACAGGAAAGCACCTTCCCTATGCCATCCAGACCTTATTGGACAGTCATTTATTCTTCCTTTGGCAGTCCCCTCCCCCAGGATCTATGGGGAATAGGCCTGGAAAGTGATAAACTGCAGCTTCCTGGCACAAATGGCATGCCATTATATTATCTGGCCTTCCCTTGCTCCTTTCCTGTTATTAATAACTGGGTTTATTACAATGGTATCACAGCAACTATTTCTACATATCTACCTCCCCTCCCCCGATCCTCACACAAGTATGGAAAGAAATA